TATACATAAATTAAATTACAGATACAGATGTATAATTCAGCAATGAACTTTTGGGAAACATTTTTTTTTCATTTTACTACTGTAAAGTAATATTGCGGTAAATGAAAAGCACTAGAAAAGTTCAAATACCAAAAGTTCTTTCTTTTTTCCCCCCTTCATCTCATAAAAGTGAGTTTGAGTAAATGATTATTGCAGGTGTTACGTCCCCTGGTGGCATAGCGGTATGAGGAAGACGTACATAATAAAATGTAATGGCATTTTATGTGCCACGAAGTGCGGCAGAGGACCTGCTGAAACGTTTCTATCACAACGCATGGTGTTGAACACATTTTTATGAGTTAACACAAACTCGTCTGCCAGTACGGCAGCTGCAGACATTTCCGTCACCTTCTGTTCATTCAAATACAAAACAATGCGTTCAGGCAAACTGTCACGAATCCGGTCCGTGGCCTTCCGGCCGATTGCCACTAGAGGTCATTCTACCAATACATTGACTCTCACACTACACAGACTGTTACATGTCACTCCGGACTACAGTTCCCATCATCCATTGCACTTACACAGCTGAATTCACTGATCACACAGCCGTCACATATCACACGCTCAGCTGAGAGCCATTACATACTCTATTTAACACTCTCTCAGTTCCTGTTCAGATTGCCGTGTATTGTTCTGCGTTTATCACTCATCTAGCGATAGCTGCATTACCGAGCCTAGTGTCTTGTTTTCTTTGTCTTGCCTTGTCTGTTTCCCTGCCTGTGTACCTGGATTATCCCTCGAGTCTCGTCCAATTGGATACTGTTCGCCCCTGCCTGGATCTTTGCCTTGTACCTGGATTATCCCTCTTGCCTTGCCATCAATATACCTGTTTGCCATTGTCTGACCTATGCCTGTTTTTGACCACGTCTCTTGTAAATAAAGCCTTGCAGATGGATCCGCACCCTGTGTTCAGCCTGGATCTTTGCCTTGTACCTGGATTATCCCTCTTGCCTTGCCATCAATATACTTGCCAGCCATTGTCTGACCTATGCCTGTTTTTGACCACGTCTCTTGTAAATAAAGCCTTGCAGATGGATCCGCACGCTTCCTGTGTTCATTCCGTTACACAAACACTTTTTAAAATCTTCAAGGAGCATTAGTTCACGTAAGGAAGGAAAATTATTAACATTACTTGAAGTGCACCACTTATCAAACAAATGGCCTAAACCCACCCATCTCCACCCCTAAACCTACCCATCTCTACCCCTAAACCTACCATCTCCACCCCCTAGATGTGGATCCAACCCCGCCCCCTGGATCTTTGTTCTGCAGTGAGAGGCTACTGAAAATCTGAGGGGGCACGTGCCCCCTCACTTTGAATGGGCATGACGCCTCTGCTGTGCATATGTTTATGTGCATTACATTTAAGAACGTCTCTCAAATGCATGCAGCCTACTGAAATATTTTGCAATCGAGATCACAATAGGGCGCAAGATGATAGGCAATGTAATTTTTTTTATTTATAATTCATGCACAAGTAGGTCAAATGTGAGCACAGTGCAGTTAAATGTACTAGAAAATATGTGCTAATTTTCCGTTAATTTGTACAAAAATTTAAAGAAAATGAAAGCATATTTAAAAAAACATTTTACATTCTTACATTATTTTCCTTTTGTAGAGAGCTCGATTTAGGTATCAGAATCAGAATCAGAATCAGAAAGAGCTTTATTGCCAAGTATGTTTGCACATACAAGGAATTCGTTATAGTGTCACAAGCTTCCCTTTTTCAGAGTTCATTGATTATATAAAATTCAGTGAAGGTTGACTATAGTTATCTGCATGTCTCATCCATGAGTGGGCCTATGCAATGATGGAGAACAAGCAATGGTGCAATGTTGGAAACACATGTTTGTGAATGGGCATTTGATTTACATTTGAGAGAAACTAAGATTGAAAACAAGGATACAAACTAGCCACTTTTCACAGAAAATTGCAGTTGTAAATTCAAAATAGGCCATCTGTGTAATTCATGTAGATTCAATGAGTTGAAAACACTTGCTACTTCATACTTCAATACAAAACAAGGCTGAACTTTGACAAAAAATAAATGTTTAAATGTTACAATAGTGATTTTATAATGTCTAAATATAAATCAATTAGCAAAACATGTGAAAAGAACTATGAGTGGAAATGGTAAAGGAGACAATAAATTATCCTATGTTTCCATCTAGTGGTCATAGTGGGAACCATGACATTCATTTTAATAGTATTTGTTTTTCTACCAGGTGAAATCTTGGCAGAAATATTCCACTTAGCATGGCAAATTTTCCATGAATTACCTCTTTAAGTAAAAAAGAAAAAAAAATGCAGATGTTCTTTAAAATAAATTTTACTATATAAAAATGTGCAAAAATATGAATAATTTTGAGGCCAATGAGATATATATTCAAATTACCTAACTAAAAAGTGTGCAATAATACATGTGTTTGAAAATAAAAATGAATAAAAATGTGTTCTACTGTCTGGGGTCTGCCATCAGGAGTTAAAGGGGATGTTATGTGACACTTTTCTTTCTTTCTTTGTTTTTTTCTTGTTTTTACTTTTCACTTTTTTCCCTATGGTTTTAAAAAAGGGGAAAGGGGGTTCAAACCTTTGTCACTTTTTTCACTCCTGATGAGTTTGTATCCTTCCATGCACAAGCTAGTAATGGGCTCTTGACTTGCAGAAAGTTTTCTGCGCGAGTTAGTGTTAGAGGCTACTAGAATACAGGGGGGCGCCGACACTGATCTTGCATACCCCTCGGCAAATGTGCAGTTGCGCCCCTGGTGCTGGCGCAATGTTTTTGTGACTTTCGCAGTCTGTAACCGGTACCATGGCGTCTGGCGAGGAGGACGGAACTGTTGAGGAGAAAGAAACCAACAACAAGAAGCGGACGAAAGGCACCATCGCAACGGCATGGCTCACGTTCTACAATATCGCCATGACAGCTGGGTACTTGCTGGTGAAAGTTTAAGTTTGAACTGCTTTTATTTAATGTACTTGCTGAATGCAGCCGTGTGTCTGTTTATAGTGTGACCATTATAAATCATTCGATTGTTAGGTTACCAAAGACAACTTTAAAAGCTTCAAGATAGACTATTGCGCTAAACACTCACAGTGCGTGTACATAATTGATAGTTTTGTTTTATAAAGGGTCAGCTGTTACAAAGTTACAGGAATATTCTTCACAGCTACCGAAGCGTGCTCAGCCTTTCCTAATACGGTTGACTGAACTGCACGTGTCGTCCCCGTCTCCTCAACTGTCACAGTGATATGTTTAGCGCTGACACTGAAACTCTGGCCCGGCATGGCGAAATGCTCGACAGACAAACTGCAACTAGAAAAGTGAAAGACGGGATAATTGTAATGAAAGCGCAGTGAACCTGTTTTTCAATTCAACATAACTTGCGTGCTCAAACCAGTGTGGACTTAAAAGGGCATATTCTTGTGAAAAAGAAGTGTCGACCAACGTACTAAAACACATGTTAAGTAGGCTATTCTATCATTTTAACCAGGGGCGTAGCCATAATTTCAGAAGTGAGGGGGACAGAAATGTTATGTGTGTGTGTGTATATATATATATATATATATATATAACATTTCAATATA